GGAACAAGGAAGAAATTACCGTTTAGATCTATGGATGAGAAAAGTGCTCCTGGCCAAACAGGGGATGGAGAAGATCACAGATGATAAAAGGCACAGTTTTGATTACATAAAATTTTAAAAGGTTGGGCACAAACAAAACCAATGTACCTAAGATTATAAGGGAACAACTAACTGGAAGAAAATCTTGGCAGCAAGTTTTTCTGATAAATATCTCCTTTCTGAGGCATATAAGGAGTGAATTCAAATTTATAAGAGTAAGAGACATTGCACAATTGATGAGGGTCAAAGGATATGAATAGGTGTTTTTAGTGTTTAAGGGAAGAAATCTAACCTATCAAAAACTCCAAATCATGAATAACTAGAAAAATGCAAATTAGGAGTTCTTAGGTTCCGCCTCAAACCCATCAGATTAGCAAATATGACAAAAAAAAAGGGGCTGCCAGAAAACAGACACATTATGGCATTATCACTGGGGCTCTGCATTGGTCCAGCCATTCAGTACTATGCCACGAAAGTCTCTAAACTACATGACCTCTGAGCCAGCAATACCATTACGAAGTCTATATTCTGCAGTGATAGAAGAAAGAGGCAAAGGACTCATGTACAAAAATTAGGTATAGCAGCTCTTTTTTTTCTTTTTTTTAAGTTAAAAATTAATTAATATATTTTTAGTTTTCAACATTTACTTCCATAAGATTTTGAGTTTTAAATTTTCTCCCCCTCCCATTACCCTCCCCTCCCCAAGATGGCATGTGATCTGATATAGGTTCTCCTGATACATTCATATTAAACATATTTTCATATTAGTCATGATATAAAGAAGAATTAGAACTAATGGGAGGAACCATGAAAAAGAAGAAACAAATCAAAACAACAAAAGAAAAGAAGAGCAAATAGAATGCTTCCATCTGCATTCAGACTGCTTAGTTCTTTCTCTGCAGGTAGATAGCATTTTCCATCATTGAATCTTTTGGAGTTGTCTTAGATCCTTGGATTGCTGAGAAGAGCTAAGTCTATCAAATTCAGTCATTGCACGTGTGGCTGTTACTGTGTGCAATGTTCTCCTAGTTCTGCTCATTTCATTCTGTATTAGTTCATATAAGTCTTTCCAGGTTTTTCTGAAGTCCAGCTCAAAAATTGTGTGTAACAGCTCTTTTTATAGTGGCAAAGAACTGGAAACTAAGGGAATGTCCATTAAGTGAGGAGTGGATGAACAAATTGTGTTATATAAAATAATACTGTAATAGACAGTATAATGCTATATTAATGCAACAATGCATATGATAATGTTATAGGAATAAAATAGAATACTTTTGGGCCATATAATGAACAAAGGGGACATTTTCAGAGGAATTTGGGAAGAAGACTTATATGAACTGATGCAGAGTAAAGGGAGCAGAAACACAAGAGAGAAACAACTTTGAAAGACTTAAAAACTTTGATGAATACAATGGCCAAATATGATTCCAGAGGACTGGTGAGGAAGCAGGCTACCCATTTCCTGACGGAGAAGTGATAGACTCAGGATTCAGAATGAAATATACAATGCACAATGAGGGAATTTGTTTTTCTTCATTATGAATATTAGTTGTAAGGGCTTTTCTCCCTATGGAGGAGGTGAAAGAGAAAGAAAATGAATGCTTTTCAATTAAAACAAATATCTGAAATAAAATAAAAGTTACTCTTATTGAAAAAAAAAGCTGACAGAACCAGGATTTGAAACTAATCTTTGCTGTGTTTTTCCACTATGCCCTTTTAGAGGGAATTTTACTTGATGATCTGCATGGGGATAGGGGAAGGAATAAAGAGATCTAGAAATGATAGTCCTCAGCATAGAAGCTTTAATTTTAATTTCACAGCAGACCAGGAATATATTTTACTGCAAGCACTCTAGAATCCTTTTGCCATTTGATATGTCATTGTGTATGCTTAGTTCTACAGTCGGTTAAATGTTGCCTTCTCAAATGTAACATTTAATTAAAGTCTGATATGACAAGCTGAACCGATGAAATATAAGTGATTACTTCCTCTTAATCAGCCTTAAAAAAAAAAAGAGTTCCATTGTATATGTTAATTATATGCAAACTCACCATTGGTCCCTTGTTATAATACTGGTTTCTCTAGAAAACATTCATCCTGAAGCAAGTCTGCCTTGGATCTCACCAAGGGAGTTTTTTACTAAAGTACCAAAATGACCTCATTATCATGGACCCTTCAGACAACACTGTAATAATGAGTTAGTGTATTTCAGTTCTTTGAGTCTGGCCCAAAATAAAATCCTAGGCAATATGCTGCTTTAAAATTAATTTTTTCCCATTTTCCTGCTTGTTCTAACTTACTTTCTAGTGTTACTCCCCTCCTATCCCTCCTGCCCCCAGCCACCCATATAGTCTTTTCCCCTTCATTCCTAGATAGCTTCTTTTCTAGTACTGGAAAATTTGTTTGCTCCAATTTGATAAAACAAGCAGGACCTAGGAGAAGGAATTATATCCAATTACTAAAATAATTATCCACATGTTAGATAATCATAGTATCAGAGGATTTTAGAGTTGGCCAGTTGACAGTTGTCTATGCTTCTTTTCCACATCACCAGTAATAATCATGTTGGGACCTACATCTCACAGTTGCATTAACACAGAGGTGGAAAAATATTTTGGCCTCAATTCACTCAAGTTAGTTCATCTTCGCCATTGCATTATTTTGCTATTGGAACTTTGCAAATGGAGTTTTGGCTCCATTTGTTGGCACTTTGCAATTGAAGCACTATGTTGAGTAGGTCCTGATGTAAATATGCCCACTGCCATATCCTAAGAGGAATAGTATTTTTGTTCTTCCTCTTCCTGTTTCAGATATGTCTGTGAATTCACTTGCAATCCCAGCAGTCACTTGACTGTGTAGGCATGTGTGCAAACAAGATATTTGAATGAATAGCTAAACAGGCATCAATAATTTAAAGCTTCTCGAGGAGTAGGAATTGTTTCTTTCTTTCTTTCTTTTTTTTTAAATGAAAATGCTACTGCATGTAGCTACATTTCCAGGGCACAGAGTTGTTGTTTGTCCTTTGTTTTCGAAGAAGAACAGTGACATCACAGGGTGATGTCTTGATTTTTGAGTGAATTGGATTTAAGTGAGTCAGAATTGCACAGTCACCAGCTTCACCCTCTGTTCCTGGGTCGTTGAGGTCCAGTGGCAAGACAAAAGTCAAGACAGCTGGCAATGGCCTAGTATGCAGTGGATGACCTTGACATCTTCAGTGCCTTGACCAAGTTCTAGCACTCCAACACCTGCTTCAGCCTCCTTCATGGCTGTTGGAACAAATTGTTCTCATCCACAAATTCTGCCAGGAGAAGTCTTCACATGCTTAGCGTAGGCATCCCCCTAATTCACCGAGGGGGTTGAGGAGTGTTGGTTACCCTCAATCCGGTTTAGCCCATCTGTCAAGATGGTTTACCAGGGTGTGGCTGCTGAGCATGCTATAGCTTCTTGGAGCCACAGGTGAGAGTTGGGTGAAAGGGGGATGACCAGCTTTGAAGAAAGCTTGGTAAGCCCTCATACCAGAGGCGCTAGTCCTCCTGAACACCCCATACAGTCTGTACCAGGGCACAGAGTAAGCACTTAATGAATGCCTTTTTTTTGTTTTTGTTTTTTGGTGAGGCATTTGGGGTTAAGTGACCTGCCCAGGGTCACGCAGCTAGTTAAGTGTCAAGTGTCTTAGGCCAGATTTGAACTCAGGGCCTTCTGACTCCAAGGCTGGTGCTCTATCCACTGAACCACCCAGCTTAGCTGCCCCTTAATGAATGCTTATTTATTGACCTAATCAGGCCTAATCTTTCTCATCTGTAAAATAAGAGGGTTAGACTTTGAGCCTCTAAAGTTTCTTCTATCTCTAAATCTATGATTTATGATTGAATGAATGGTAATTGGATAGTTACATCTAGAAGTGAAGCTCTGATTATAATAATCGGACTAAGCAAGATCATGAACATTAATACTACAAAACTGATGATATTTGGGAAATTGAACACTGAAGTTTTGCTCCCATGGCTGGAAAAAAGATTTCCAGGTGCATTACAAGCAGTTCCTGGAGAGAATTTAGGTTTAAAAGACTGCTTCAAAACAGTGGTGCGCTTGTCAGTGATTGTTGTGCTAATCTAGAAATCCTAGCATGATATAATAAATACTTAGGGTCATAGAAATGCCTGTGTTAATTACTTAGCATGTTGCTCCAAACTTACACTGGTTGAAGCTTCAAGTCTAAAGATGAAAATCTCACTTTTATCTATTAAATCCTATGCTAATCCATCAAGAATAACCACTGGGGGCTCCTGTTGCAGCTAGGGAGTGGAAATCCTTCTGCTCTCAATGCCTGATAGCAGAGGGACACAGAGAGAGGATTTTGCAGCCAGCTATGTATGATAAACTGTCAAGGTGTGATACGTTTTCAAGCATCTTATTAAAGCCCCCAAGGAGTTAATCAATTTTCTGTGAAGCTCTCTCTGTACTATTTGATAATACCCTACTATATAGAGGCATTCCATTTGCAGTGGCCTTGGGTTTTAGGAATCAGGTATTATTTACTCTGCAGCAGATACAAGAACTGTCTCTGTAGTTTCCAATGTGATTCATGTAAGGTCATGGAGCATTCAGTTAGTATGTCAGTTGAATATGTCAGTCCACAGATAGTAAACAAAAAAGTCAGTTACCACTTCTATAAAGTGCTGATGCCATTTGCCCCCTGATTTCAACAGAGCTTTTTGTAAATGCTGTTTAAGTGTACAGTAAGTGTTGAAGTGGACATACGCTGCATGTTGATTTGCATGTTGGTAAATTCTTCTGATTAGCCACAAAGAGCAAAAAAGAAAAGTTTCCTGATCCTTCTTTGTGGAATGGATTTTGCATTGGTGGGGGATTAGGTGGGTGGGAATTGCCTGTTCTTTTTTGTGTGGTCCTGAGATGCCAGTCACAAGAATTTACCGATATTATTTTGTTCCTTTATCTAGACACACTATTTTGGCCTCTGGTTTCTTAGCAAGAGCCAGCAAGCACGATGGGTGGAGCTGGAAAAGCCTCTGAAGAAGCAGCTGGACAAATTCGCCAACGAGCCTTTGCTTTTTTTTGGAGTCATGTTCTATGTGCCAAATGTGTCACAGCTTCAGCAGGAGGCCACAAGGTAAGTCCATTTTCCTTCTCTGCATCCTATATGTATAGATGAATGATGTGGGGCTCAGATTGCACAGGTAAGTCTGAGAGCTGGGTTGGAGGGTGTCAAGATTTAAATAATTCCTTTACAATTTTAATAGTTTCATTTTGAATGATATGGTCAGCTCTCTCAGTTCCTAGGAAAGTCAATGAGAGAAAATGTCAAGTAAAATTTGTGTGTAATCCATCTTCTTCAGATCAGGTGAAATTCATGAAAATGTATGTTTAAAGCAAACCTCTGAATGCCCAGTTAGAAATTAAGCATCAAGCCATGTGATCTTTAGGGAAATGGGGTTGGAGAAAATTTCCAAACAAAACTAATTGTGCAGCTTCCAGATTGGGGATAGGCTGTTCTCCTAAAAGCTGGTGAATTGGGGAAATGAGACGTTTTTTAGGCAAGAGTTGGTTCATAAGGCTCCTACTAACTGAAGGGGATTCAGGCTTCCATTTGGGATTCTTTTGACAGTAACATAGTGTTTTGTCCCTGTGTAAAAAAATGAATTCTTTTTGTTTGATGTAATCATAGCCAATTTCTTAATAAGTAGTCAACATGAAAAGTTAAAGGGTCTCAGGTACAGCAAGGCATTTGGTATATCAAATTGGATATTTCAGATAGAAGAGGAAATAGTGTGAACCCTACACATCTCACCTTTGGCACACATCATAAGAACCAGAGATCCCGAATGAAGTGACAAGCTAATATACCTAGAAGAAAGGGGTTCATTGTTGAACTTTGGGCATATGGTCATCATACATGCAGGTCTCATCTCTTTGGAGATGATCAGGCCACATCTACAGTTTTGTGCCATTTTATAGTCACTGCTCTTTAGATAAATATTGACTTGGTAGATCATTTGCTGCCAAAAGAGTGTGACTTCCCAGGATGGTGAGGGGGACTGAAAGCAGTGTCATATGAGAAACGATTGAAGGAATTGGGTGTATTTAGCTTAGAGAAGAGGCTGAAGGACAGAAAGCATAGTAGAAGCCTTTAAATATTGGAAGGGCTACCATGTACGTTTAGAAAATTATACTTCACCTTTTGGAGCTAAGAAGAGCTAGGACCAGTGAGTAGAAATTGTGGAGACAAAATTTATCCTTGTAGGTGTTTAGCAGTGGAATGAAACCATATGAGTTAGGATGACCATCTCAGGAATGCGGTAAAAAGGTTTGGTATGTTTGGAGACAGACTAGGCAAGAAGACCCATTCCACCTATAAGTTCTAAATGATGAAAAATATCAAAGCTACTGGAATTGCTGTTATTATATATTATGTATATAATACATATGTTATATAAGGGCCTTTAAATTCAAATTCAGGTTGGGATAGTTATCATTGATGGGAACCAAGGAGGAAATCCTTGCTTCCTTCTATATTTATTGCACAATTAACCTGTTCATATTATAGAATGTAGGTGGGACTGGGGTGTGTGAGGAGCTTCTTGGTCTGAAATTCAGATGCTGTTTCTGAGAGTTTTGAAACCATATCTCACTACTCTTGGTCATAATCACACAGAGGACACTCAGACCCCAGCTGGAAACCAGTGTGTCTCAGTGCCATTCATTCATGTAGTAGGGAGGAATCTATAAAACAAGAGTTTGAAGATTTAGGAATGCCTTTGTGACTTCCCTTTTTTAATGCTGAAAATAGAGGGAAAGGAAAGCTTTCCTGCCTCCTCTCTCAAGGGTTGGCTAAATTATCAACCAGCCAGGTATGGTGTTAATAACCAGTTATAACTGTTAGGGAGAGAAAAAAAGAGAGAAAGGAGGAGAAGTGGTCTGTTCCTCCCATACTTGTCGTACAATGTCATTTTCATTGGCCTTATAGCTTTCTGAGATGCCCCATTAGTATAAAATTTTTACATGATTCTCTAATTCAGGGGGAAGAGTAGGAAAATATAGGAATGAACATTTTAGAAAACTAGGCATTGTTATTACCATTTAACCTGTGAGTATGGCTCTTTTCTTTTGGCAGAGATGAAAGACATTTGGGGCTGACGGTACCAGAACATTAGGGGAATTGCCTTTTTTCTTTGTTGTTCAGAAATCTGGAGCCTCTTGAGCCCTGAAGGATACCAGTCCTCTCAAGCTATGCCCAGGGTTGTGCAAGAGAGAATGAAAAAAAGGAAAGGAAATGAGCATGTAAGAATTAGAAAATGAGGTAGAAGTAAGAGAATTAATTATATTATGTTAATTAATTACATCAATTATAGAGTGCCACCCACAGTTTCGAAGGCAGCCTGGTACAATAGAATGTTAAATTTAGAGTCAAAAGGACTTAGGTCCCTTTCAGTACTACACCATTTATTATCTTTTGTGACCCTGGAGAAGTCACTTGACCATACTCAGTTTCCTTGTATGTAAAATGGGTGGATTGGAGTGGGTGGCTACTAAGGTCCCTTCTAGCTTTAAGTCTCATGTTCCTAAAAGGTACCATTTCATAGTACAGTACAGTACGTTAATGACTTCTGGAGTAGTATAGTAGGAAAAAAACTGCTTGGGCAAAATGACATTCCAGAACCTTGGGCTTTTTGGTTTCGTGGTTCCAGCCAAATTTTTGAACTCCACACATGTTGCACATTGCTGCTAAGTAGTCATCGGGAGCCCCTGGGAATCTGAGCCTTCTTGGGAAGTTTTAGAAAACAGCTGTGGGCTGAGCGGAATATTGAAACTCTCTCCCCATCCTTGCATCCAAAGAGCAGCCGGGGGTGGGGTGCAGAATTCCAGAGGAGTACTTCCTAGAAGGTCCAAACAACATTCATTAGGAACTAGTTAATGAATAACTCTCCAGTCATCTAGCTTTTATCTGAGTTACCCAGTCACAGGTGGAGATGGTCTTTGGCATCTCTCAGAGCACCTGGGATCTGGAGAGTGTCTGACATAAAACAGTTAGTCTTTGTCATGCCCTGCAGAGTAAAATATTTGCATAGATTAGAAAGAGAAGTCTGCCTTTCATTTGTGGGTAACCCCTTGGAGGAGACAACCATTCAACCATCTGTGCTTTAAAAATAAGTCTTTGTCTGTAACCAACCAGACTTGTTTTCACCTAACAAATGTTTGCAATGGTCCAACTCCCCCAGGTTGAATAGAACACCATTTTCTGTAGCATTAGCATGTCTAACCTTATCTCCTCTTGAATTGGGGGCAAGTAGTCAAAAATTGATATTGTAGTTTCTGGACTGTATCTGTGAATTGGTGTGCATAGACATAATAGATATGATCACAGATTCATCAGGATACAAAAAAGACACTTGAGGCATAGGCCTGATAGTTGTATCCCTGGATTGAATGCACAAGTTTAGGTATTTTGTGTTTCTCATCACTTCTCCAGATACCTGTTAAACTGATATTCCTAAAGCACAGGAATGGTCATGTCATTCCCCTTCTCAAAAAAGATTCATTGGCCCCCTCTTGCCTCTAGAATCAAATACAAACTCCTCTGTACCCTGATGTACAAAAATATTCAAAGCAGCATTATTTATGATAAAGGGAAAAGCTGGAAAGAAATTATGGACCTAACAATTGGGGCTTGGCTGAAAAAACTATGGTAAATGAATGTAATAGAATATTGCTGCATTATAAGGACTGACAAATATAAAGAATTCAGAGAAATACAGGACTCTATGTTATGAAGTAACAGAGTAAAGAAAGTAGAACCAAAAGAACACTGTATATAACAATAATAATATAAATAAAGTTAACATGGAGAGGCAACCAACCTCTGGCCGGTACAGTGATCAGTCTTAATACTGTACTATCAGAGTTAAAGGGCGTCTCTTTCCTTGCTGTTAATAATTCATAATTTGTTTTGAGAGGAGAAGAAGTAATGTACTTTGTAAATAAGTTTGGATATTTCTTGGGAAAAAACAAAATATATCAAAATAGGACATTTTTGAAAGGAGAAGACAGATGGGAGAACAAAAAATAGAAAACATAATCACTATCAGTGACAGTAAAACACAGATGTTCTCTATACATATATATGTATATGTCTATTATATATTCTAATTCTTGAGGTTTATTGAGATGATTTGGAAGGTAGGAGCTGGGTGGATTTAGTCAAGAAAGAATACAAATTAGAGAGATGAAGAACCCTTCAGGCAGCCAGCCCACTCCCCACGATGTAAGACTAATTTCCTCAAAATTTGGTCATGTATCCAGTCTGGTTACTATGACTCAACTAAAGACTCCCCCCCATTTTATCTTATTTTCCATTTTGCTTTTTATATTTTTCATTGCCAGTGTTACTGTTTGAAAAAGGACTCTTGTTTAAAAAAAAAAAGCCATCTTCCTCCCCTGTCACTCCGCTTCTGACTCAAAGGGAAGATTTCTGTAATTTGTTTTAATCATCTGCATAGCAACAGTTTTCTTATAAACACACGGGTTTCAAATTTTTCTGGACACTGAAAGAAAAGATGGTTTGTAAGACGTGGAAGAATTCTTAGTCAAACAGAAGTATATTTAATAATAGCAAGTGAGAGCCAGGAATCTGTTGGCAGTGACCATCACTTTTTGTTTAGCTATGGGGTTTTTCCAAGTTTTCCCTGGTGAGGAAGTCCCTGCTTGATTTCTCAGGGTTTTTTTTTTTGTCAAAACTCTTTATTTTTTCTCTTATTATTTTTGAAGGTTAAACTTTAATTCCTTACCCTTAATTGCAGGAGTATATGCATGATTACTGTGTTCTGAAACTTGTTTGGTTATTTTCAAAGAAGTACTGTTGACTTTTGCACAAGGCATTGCTGCTGTGCTATGTTTTTATAGTATTAGAGAGCTTCTCCTTGTCTGGCTGAGGTCAGGTAACATCTCTCCATTTCCAGGACTTGTTAGGGGCCTGTATGGTAATCTCGGAATATTTGCCTTGTTGATATGTGTACTATACAAATTTCAAGCAAGCTAATTACATTAGCCAGCATTGTCACTGTACTTGACAAAGGAAATCCTAGACTCTCAGCATCAGTCTTTATGGATCCCAGG